AGTGCGACATCCCAACCAACTAGCCAATGCGGAAATAGCGTCTGCACATCCGACACTCCATGCTGTAGCCAATATAACTATTGTGGCTCAACTGATGCTCACTGTGGTACCGGCTGTCAACCTGGTAAAAGCTTTGCCGGTACCTGCGCCAAGAGCGGAAACCAGAAACGAGGAAGAATAACATGGCATCGTATTGACCCTGATGAACAACTCATTAACAACATGGAAGGTGGCAATGGAAACCAGAAACGAGGAAGAACAGCATGGCATCGTATTGACCCTGATGAACAACTCATTAAGAACATGGAAGGTGGCAGTGGAAACCAGAAACGAAATATAAATAGAGAAACATGGCATCGTATTGACCCTGATGGACAACTCATTAAGAACATGGAAGGTGGCAGTGGAAACAATGGAGGCAGTGAAAACAATCTCGAGAAACGAGATAGAAAAACATGGCATCGTATTGACCCTGATGCAACATTCACTGGTGGCAATGGTGGCAACGGTGGCAACGGTGGCAACGGTATCAATGGTGGCATTGGTGGCAACGGTGGCAATGGTGGCAATGGTGGTCAATAACCAAAGAAGAGTTGTATCATTATTGTTATTTATTTATTATATATAACTGTGTGAAATAGAGTAAATATATATAATTGGGCTATATTTATTCAATCTGTAGAAATTATTATATATATTTAAATGGCATTAGTGTTTATAATGTAGAAAAATTGTACTTTTAAATGTATCTAGTTTGAGTTTTTGTAGTATGAATTTTTGTAGAATTCTATTGATTATTTAATTAGTTGTTGCTTAGTTTGTCATTAATTTCCGAAATCGAGGGAATAACAACTGTTTTTTTTCTTTCTGGTAAAAAAGTACAACATAAGGCTGTGGGTCGTACGAGTTAATTATTAAATGATCGTTTTCCCACCAATTCAATTTGAATAATTTATCATTATTGTTACCGTTACAAAGAAAATAATTAGCATTTTAAATTATTGCCCAAAAGAAATAACGAAGCAAACAAAAAAGCAATATCGATATGGTGAAAATTATTCGTGTTACTGAGTCTGAAAAATTTAATGCAATAATTAGTGAGATTGCTAGTGGTCAGAATAATGCAGAGGTCTTTGTATATTTTTTCGGTAAGCGTGTACTTTGTCATTGAATATTTTATATGACTATATTTTATCTATATATGCTGTTTATTTTCTTAGGAACAGAAGAGCCTTCGACTGGGCAATCGTGGTGTCCTGATTGTGCTATTGGTATTTTCATTTGGAGATTTTCTTGAAAGTTTAAAGTATTTAAAAAATTCTTTCTTTTCTATAGCTGACCCGCTCATTCGTTCCACGGTAAATCAATATGCTTCATCATCAAATACAGCAGTGGTTTTGATTGAAGCACCTGTAGGATCCAGATCCGAGTGAGTAGTAATTGTAATATTAGATAAATTAAAAATTTTCAAATTTCATAATTAGAAAAAACTATCACCATGTTTATTAGATGGCGGCAGTCCTCAAATCATGTATACAAAAGAGATCCGCGTATTAACATCTCGCGTATTCCTACGCTGGTTAGGTGGAAAACTAATACGAGATTGGTTGAAGATGAATGTGCCAATGAAGATAATTTGAAAAAATTTGTTGAGGGAAAGTTGTAATTCTTTATAGCAAGCTTTGATTTTGGAATTCAATTTATATAACTTTTTAAACCAGATAATAAATATCTGCGAATTTGTAGTTTTTTTATTAGATATATTTATATTATGACTTCAATGGAATAATTATTTTTTTTAAGATTTTTGTCAACTGGGGCCAGCATCAATTTGGTAACCGTGCTTTATGTCGAAAATTTCCTTTTATGCTTAAGTTTCTGTATTTACAGTCTATTACTTTGATAATTATCATTAAATTATTTATCAATTTTTGAATTTAAGTAAATTTATTATATATTAACTTATATTTGAAAATAAATTATATCAAAAATATATTTTAATTAAAAATTACTTTAGAAAGAGAATTATTTTTTGTTTTAAAAACTTTTTGAATTTATAAATAAGTAAAAATTTTCAAAATAAGACTATTAAAAAACTTTTTTTATATATATATAAAAAATTTTTAAATCAAAAAATTTTAAAATATATTAACAATTATAATTAATACATGCATGAATTTTTTATTAATTATAATTAGTAAAATGCATATTTTTTCTTATATATAAAAAGTTTTTAATTTTATTAATAAAAATTTTTATTTTTAGCTCAAAAATAGCTAAAATTCTTTATTTGATATCTTTTTATCAGTAACTTGTTCATATTGTATATGAAAATAATTAATTTTTACAAATTAATAATTAATAAAAATTAATTATCATTATATTTAATATAAATAAGTTTTTAATAAATAAATTTGAAAAAATATATATTAAACTAGAAAATTTAGCTATTTTTAAGCTAAAAATAAAAAATATTTATTAATAAAAATTAAAAACTTTTATATATAAGAAAAAATATAAATTTATTAATTATAATTAATAAAAAATTAAGTATTATATTAATTATAATTATTATTTATTTTAAATTTTTTTGATTTAATATTTTAATAATATTTATTTAAAATTAATAAATTTAATAGTTTATTATTTTAAATAAATAATTAATATAATATATATTTTTATTAATATTTATTCTTATAAAATAAAAAAAATATATCATAAAAATTATTAAATTATATAAATAAAAATATTATAAAATTTTAATATTAAATTTAAAAATATATTTATTATTATCAGTAATAGTACTAAATTTTTTTGTGAAAAAATTTTTAGTACTTTGATATAATTATCTTATTAAAAATTTTAATTGGTTATTTTAGAATAAAATTTTACAAGAAATATTTTTTCTTAGAATATAAAAAATAGTTTATATATAAAATTTTGAGTTATCATTATTTTTTGAAAAATTTTTTGTTTTTTAAATTTTTTAATCTCATAATTTAATTTGTTATTATTTTTATTATATATGAATTCTGCAATTTTAGTAATCAATCAAATATCTAATACTATTACTAGTAATAATAAATAGATTTATTCTAAATATAAAATAATTAATAAATTAATATATCAAATTTAAGACTTATCAATGATTAATATAATATATATTTTTAATATTAATAATTAATAAATTAAATTAAAGATTTTTAATTTTTAATTCTAAAATAATAAGTAAAATTATAAAAAATATTTTTATATAATTTTTATTATAATTTAAAATATTATTTAAATATTATATAATTAAATTAATAAAACTTTTTTTAAAATAAACTTATTTATATATTTTATAATTTAATTCATTTATTTTTTAAAAATTATATTTAATTTTAAGACTTGAAATTTAATTAATTTAACTTTTTAAAAATTACTAATTATAATTAGTAAAATACATATTTTTCCTTACATATAAAAGTCTTTAATTTTAATAACAAATATTTTTTATTTTTAGCTCAAAAAATAGCTAAAGTTCTCTAGTTTAACATATATTTTTTTCAGATTTTTC